CGAATACAGGAGCTTGCAGTGTGTTTTTATCATCTTGGATGTTGCGGAGCGGATCTTTAAACAATGGGAGAAATTCTCGATCCATAGGACGGGAAGATAGTTGAGCCATCCAGCTCTGTTGCTTTTCAGCAATTGTCCAAGCAATGGAAAGTGCATTATGAAGCAGAAATGCATGATTTTGTTGCACTAAATAATTCCAGACAATACCTGCATTTGTTTGCAGAGTGTATTCAATCGTGCACTCAACTTCTTTTTCTATCCTTTTCCTGGATGGCATTCTATGGAATGCCTGTTCAAAATGTCTCAAAAACTGAGCAGTTGACTCATTTGGTAATGGGCCAGAACGAAAGGCAACAAATGCGTCGACTGGACTTCTCAAATTGTTGGACAACGAGAGGATTTGTAGGACTGCCTCAATAGTCATTGGCCATGTCGGACGATGTGTCTTGCAGAAAGCGTTCACTTGTTTGAAATCCCCCTAAAATAGGTGGCAAACTTGTTGCGGCCACAGATGGTAATAGGACCCCTCTTGAACTAATGCTGATTGTTTCTCCTGTAAGTGCATTAGATTTTCGACATCATTTGTAATTGAGAGAGGTTTTAATCCAGGTCGAAATGGTATACTACTATTTCGAACGTCACAAATGTTACAATCTAAATCACTCTCAGCAACAAGCTCACACCAGTACTTCCACAACCACTGAATATATTGGCTGTTGTTGTTCTTTGATAACCAACTTTCGCGGTCTGGCCTATCTACCATTAGTTCAGATAAACATAGCAGATTTGTTTTTGTCTGCGGGCCGGGTGAGTTTGGTGGTGCTCGAAACGGTCCTTTGTTCAGGTCCCAGGTAGACTGCAAACCAGGGATAGTTAATGGATCTCTAGTGTCGCCGATGTCGGATTTCGCAGCAGTTATTTGAAAACCTGAGGTTCCGTGCTGAACAGGTTTCTTTGGGTAATCCTGAGTTTGAATTTCAGGAGGATTGGACAGTTGATTAAATTTATCGTCCATTGCACCCATGTGTGTAGCGAGAGCTGCAATGTTGCTGTTTTGCTTGTCCTGTTGCGCTGTAATCTTACGAATTTCTTTCATGATATTTTGAAGAGTGATCTCTGCTGGTAAATCTAGGTTAACGTCCGGGTTGATACAACCAGAACTTCTTGTTGACGGAGCCATTTCCTTTTTTTCAAAGTAAAACTTCTTATGGTAGTTGAGGTACCTGCACAAATAGCTATTTGTGCGTTCACGTGTATGGGTTACGAATGTCTTACTATAAACTATGAACTCAAAGCACGCCTGTAATCTTGGATTGCAGAATGCCTGTGGAGTTTGTTAAGTCTAGAGTAAGTTTGTTGTTCATTCAATGCTAACTAGAAACTCCCTAAGACTACAAAGACGCTAACCTATGATTACATAATATATACCACACTAATTTTATCATCCCTTTGTGTCAAATAACACATCATAACATCTAAATAAAGAATCACCTTTATTAAAGATTGTTAATCTGTATGCAATTGAAATACAAGATTAAAGCGTCACTGGCTATATTCGAGTCATGCATATGTTATTAGATAGATTCCCACCTACCTATGCATAGTTCTGCTAGCATTTGTAATTTATATTTTGTATTTTGTCATTACAATCGAGTCACTTAATCTCCTATTAAACAGCATTAATTTTACTATACTTGGTCATACTTTCCACTTATAATTTGCTATTAAGGGAACAAACAGGACCAATTTTAGAACCATGTAAAGAAGGGAAATACGAGCTGTTTGCATAAATAATTGTAATTATTGGGCTATATCTGGAGATTGGGAGGAAATTATGAGAATAATCTAAAAGATGTATTTAAGAACTAAGATAGCATCCTCAGAAAATGGGATCAATTCAATAAACTCGGAGAGAGATTCATATTAGTATAACTTTGCTCAACACTTTGTCCCGTGACCTGGACATACAGTACCTAGACGTGCAAACTGCTCTGGACCACACGATTAGATCCACTGCAATACATGGCTCCACTGCGTCATCAAGAGGCCAATTTAGTCCCACAAACTCCCGTTATTCTGGAGCGAAGCAATCCTGATTCTATGGCTGCGGTGGTAGAAGAGTTAGGAGGGTGCAATCGAATTAATGCTACTCCAGAACCAACGATACAAGACGCATTATTAAAAGGCCCATCCTCACTGTGGTAGAGAAAGTCCCAGCATACTTATCTTTCATCAAGTGAGCGTGGGATGTTGACGGCAAAGGACCATATAATAATGGTCGTGTTGTTGTAATTACGAGGTTAGATGGATGAGTATTGTGGCAGGACGTTATACATATAAAGAAGAATGTGGAATGAATATTCTGGTGGTGAGCGAATATATTTGGACTATCTGGAGACAAAGTGGATATCCAAGATCAACGCATGGTATACATAGTGTTAGAAATCTAGACTCAGTAGATATGAAGGTTTAGATTTCCAAGTATGGTCATCAAGATTAATTCAATTGATCCGATTGCATTTGGTTAAGCTTAGCTGGGCAACATGAGGTTCAGTGGTACCTGAAATGCAGTAGATAGGAAATGCTACCTTGCAATAATTGAGTGGCTAGTTGTTGCGAGATTACTGGGAGTTTGGGATCACTAAGGCCTTGGGGATCTATATTCAAGGATAGACTTGTTTGTTTATGTTGAACTAAGTCAACAGAATATTACATATTATTAATTCACATTAAGAAGAGAGTTCGATATCCTATACAACTATCAATAAATTCTTGTCCAAAATTGTACACTTGTTCTTCGAGATATTTCTCCTAGAAATCCTTGACAATTTCCAACACATAGGAAGTAAATGCACCTGGTTGTATACATGTGTTACGGGCTGTGCCCGGATTGGGACTGGTCACTAGGACCAACCCGGCTAGATCTTTAAGCGCCAACGAAGCAGCGCTTACAGAGACGCGAAAGGTTGCATGGGGAAGAATGCAAGGATACGCACAAAGAGGGATCTCAGTGTTGCATAAGGATAATTGCAAGGTTGCGCATGAGGAAGGACCCAAGGGAGTTTTTTTTTTTTTTTTTTTTTTGCATCAGATTTTAATTGCGTATGCAGCTATCTAGCTATGACACAATATCAAAGAAAAGTACAGAATAGATGACTCAATTTACAAGAAGAGCACTCATGCCTCGGATTTCATTTGCAAGTACCACTGCGAAGTTGTAGCGGCTTTTTCTTCACCCCAAGTCAACCCTCATCCGTGAATACCCACCCAGGGGAACGTCTCAAAACCCCTGAGTTATCCAGACATGCCTCCATCATCATTCAACTTCTCTCCGCGCGAAATATGATCTGAGATGTCTCCTTCCCAAGTGGAGTAGGTGCCCAGGCTACTCAAACTATACCAGAGAACATCACCAGGAGGCGGATCACAACACCTTCCATCGTCGGCTTGTTTTTATAGTTTCAGCTGCACTCTCGCAAGCGAAGTCTTGGCGCGCACAAAGCTCAATTCGTAAAACTCCTTGCCAAAATTCGGAATCTCACGCCCTTCGAGGTTATATCCTTCCTCCGCATCATCTTGTAAAGTTTTCCTGATTCCTCTCACGTCCATCCCAAAGAACTATCTCCCAGATTTGTGCTCCACGCTTTGCTTCCTCCGTCGGGTATAAATATCGGCGTGGGCGTGTATTTGGTGACCAGCTAAGGCCAGAGAAGGTCGAAGAGTGGTGTGGTTATTGGAATAAGGATATACTTAGTCGTACTTGTAGACTCGATGAGACGAAGATAGGAGTCAAACTCGTTGGGAGCGAAATAACGACGTGGAGGAGTAATTTGGATTTTTGCCTCGTGGGCCAACTTCTTTGATATTGCGAAATTTGACTGAACTTGGCTCTGGGAGAATATTTCACTCCCAGGTTCGTAGAGGACACCGCGTACAGGTGTTCAGTCTTGCCCTCCGACCCAAGGGAGTACGTACTAAGGGGGGGAGGATGTCACAGGAAAGAGGGTAGCCGGGGAGAATGGAGTATTCTCAGGTAGGCTAGGAGGGGAGCTTAAGCGCGACGCTGAGGAGGACATAAAGGACAGGAGCCGTCGTAGGCAGATTAGCTTCCCAAGGAAAAATTATCAATTCCTATTGAGTTAACGTCTTTCAAGTACTTCTGAATTCTTTAAACCCTTTACAATATGTCCGATTTGCCCTACAGCCATGCCCATTGACTGTCCGATGTTCTCATGTAATGCGTATCGACATTATTTGATCCTTTAGCTCCTGATAATTCGCACGACTCACATTTGAGTCACGCATTAATATGAGCTTGCATGAATATAGTCATGTGATTAAACCACTGAGTCTTGCCTATGAAGCCCTTGCGCAGACTAGGATCATAACAGATGTGCTGCTGAAAAAAATGAAACGCCTTTAATAATGCGCCAACTGGCCTCAATTGGCACGACATTAAATCTGTTGACGCTGTGGCGATCTCACTGTATATACAAGATATCCATAGCGACACTTTTTTCACCGGGGTAAGCTGGCCCTAACATGGATACCCCTCTTCAATAGGAGTGGCATGCCGAAGCTGAGGGTTTGTTAGTGCAGGAGCCAATTATTTGTTTATTTTATCCATTTTTATCCTTTATAAGTTAACAACTACTTGGGGCAAACTATCTTGAGGCATCATATCTTTTACACTCTCAATTGGGGTTTCCATGAATGAATGGTGGGTTATTGCGCAGGAGCCACGGACAGAGCAGCAAAACGACGGCTTTAATAGCCACCTGTGTGAGGAAACTTGCGAACCTGTCCTGTGGCAGGTTAGGATGACTTTTAGTATCAATAGCTCAATAGATCAAAGGCTTAATTTTCCCTCTAAAGTCGAGGTCTCCCTACATACACTCATGATCATGAACATGAATGAATGGATAGACTTTTATTCGTAATAGGCACAAGCCTGGTTCTCATGGTCCATGCCAGGATTAAGGCTAGTCCTTCGCCGACGACTATATACGACCATATCTCAGTTTAACATTTGGACCACTCATGTAGAGGATACATTCGCTGATACGAATCGAGACCTTGGTGCTAGGGACTCTCATTCTTCTCTCAACCGTTCATGTCCACCGTAGGTAAAACAGGAAAAACCTTTGGCTGACTTAAAATGCCTTTGTCAACTTGTATATAACCACAGCGCTCTCATTCTCTAGTGAGGTAGATGTAATAGCTACCCAAATTTTAATTCGGGGAAATGACGAGTAGGAGGCGGACCAAAGGACCTCCCATCGTTGCCTGAGTTTAGAGTGGCGGTAGCACTATCAGAAATCGTTGCCTCTGCGCCCACAGACACCCTCGAGTCGAAAACACTCGAAAATATGCGTCCCCGTATGCCTATTTGTGACCTCTTCACTCGTTAGTTTTACGTCCCGGCTGCCTCTCATCTCTTAAGTTGTGAAGCCCCATTAGAGCAACGGTCCCTCATAGACCAAAACCCGAGCTGTATTTATTATGACCTAGTTTCTCCCTCATGAGTACGCATAGCATCGTATCTTTGTAAATGGAGATGGCCTATTATTGATGAGGCCAATTCCCGATTGCAAGTAGAGCAACACCTCTATCGGTAGATGAGGCGAGGTGGTGTGGCAAGATTGAGGTGGAGGACACGCGTGTGAATAATACGTCCGGCATTGGCGAGAAGTCGTGGATTTGAGATATGATTGAGATTGCTTTCGACTTTGATTAGGATGCGAATCTTCTTGGCCATCCCATAAATTCAGAACATGCTGAGCGGTTACGCTGGCACGTGGGGGACTATTCTCAACACCTGTCAGTGATGTCCCCTACGAACCTCCAGCTCTCACTGTAGAGTCTGCAGAGCCGAGATTGAGTAACAAAGTCCTCACTTCGACGAGTATTCCCAGTCGCTTTCGCGATCAGATGGTAGGGTCAGAGCCCTACTCATCAACAACTCTTGAGCATGGAGGAAAAGCCATCCGATGAGTTTCCGGAGCGTACCCAGCACCCGACACGGAGATGGTGGATTGGATCAAGTCGGCCACGACAGTTACAAAGAAGGGAGATATAGATGAATATGCGCACTTCATGTGGTCTCGGTGTCTAAGCCTCGCCTGGCTGAGCCTGCAGGTTTTTTGAGACTTGTTCCCGCGCACGCAGTTTCCATTGCTACCATTTTTTTGGATAGAAGGTTCCGTGGAAAAGGTGACCGAATTCCACGGGTAAATACTTAGCTGAATGGCTATTCATCAAGGTGAATATATCAATGATCTTTGAAGTAACAAAAGAGGCTAGGAGCAATGTACAAGGTGCGGCCTGGGTCAGAGAGGAGCCCAATGTGCTAGATAGTCATAGACTCAAGCAGTACAATTGATACATCACTCATTACGCTGGCACGTATGGGAGGCGAAATTTTCTTTTTTGCTGGGGCATATGGTCATGGACTCAGTAGTGGCTCAAGATAACCTCTATATTTTTCTATTAAGCTGGATGGTGCAGTGGTATATCATTCAGACCGTTCTCCCAAGTGGATTCTAGGCAGCTTGAACGCCAACCCCATTTGAGATAAGAGATTAGATTTTATTATAGTTCTATCAGAGTCTATGACTACAGAGGACTTTTAGTTTCTACATGAAAGAGACTAACAATTTTTAATAAATTCAACCATTATAATTCATGATATTTTCTTGTAGATAGTGAGGAATTGAGACAAGAGAAAGCTGGTTCGAATCCAGCAAAACCCACTCACGACTCTCGCTCGCAGTGACATAATACTTGTGGGCCGATGAAAGTACACTCAGATAACCATAGGGTTCTCACGCTTTTCCCTGCGGTGGGTAGGCACGAAAGAGGTCATACGCCGCAAGGGCTAGCCTCGAGTAGTATCTGCAAATGAAATCTGAGTGTGAGTGTTCTAAACGTCAAATTGAGCCATCCTACTTAAAGTACGTACATCCCGATAATAACTGCACGCGCCTCAAGGCGCCAGATCAGGAAAATTGGATAATTTATTTATTTTTCTATTCCTACCCAGCCCAACTAACACAATGCTTATAGTATCACCTGCACTCTTGCAATGTGAGGACTTGCGCGTGCTAAGCTCCCTAATGTAACCCCCCCCCCCCCCCCCCCCCGGGCAAACTTCAAATGTAGTCCCTTCTATTATCATATATCTCTAGTGCTCTCTTTTTTAATTTTTCTTATTTCTCTTACGTCCATCACGAAGGTCTGGCTCACTAAATTTGTTTCTACCTACAACTATTCAAATCACCGTGGTCGCGTATTTAGTGACCAGTCTATGACTGAGGCTGAGCTGAGAGAAATGGTCAAAATGATGTGAATGTACTGAGTGGTACTAATATACTTGATGAGGCTTTGATTGGAAACGATCCTGTTGAGGATGAGAGTTAGGCCTACTAGGGATTGTTGAATGATTGGCCTGTAGGCCAACTACTTGAATATTGCGAAAGCTGGCTAGCTTTTCGTTTCTTTAATTTGTCTGTATATTAATGTACTAGGAAACTGGCACCCTCCGCATTCCGACTGGAGCTTGAGCATGAGTGAGGCCGGGCCGGGCCTGATAAGGTTAACTACCGTAAAGTACAAGTGCCTCGTTCCACCTAAATGACCAAACCACATCAGACTTCACAGATATGTGGAATCATACCAAGCCCAACAGTCGAGAAACTTGCTGTATATACGCCGCAGCTCAAATTTCTCCCCAACCTCATCCATCATGCGCCCGAGCCCTTGAAATTCTCATTGACTCCGAAGTGTAGACGTCTTCTAAGATCTTATCGTCGCTCTAGCCTTGCAGCTTCATATCGTACCGTTGGGTTGTTGTCATGATTGGGGATCTAGACTCCCGCGCAAAAGTGAGATGCCCTCGGTGTATATTTCATCTTTCCCCCTTAGCACATGTCCCGTTTCCATCATAAATTTTCTCACTAGGGTGCGTGTGGGTAGGTAGTGCGATGAGGGTGAAGGAGGGTCGCAAGTATGGGATCGACTGAGAAATGCTTCGTCGTAAATATGTAAGGAGTTTAAGAGATGCCGATTGCTTGGATACGAGCCCCAGAAAGATCTAGTTCCGTTCGTGAATCGTGTGTTGGTGACGATAAGTTTTGTTCGACTCTCTTGCGGTTGTTGAATCTCTTTCGAATGACATTTCGACCAAAAAACCGAGTGCAACTCCTTCAAGCCGACAAGTCATCGAGTGTAATCAAATACAACCCTTTTTCATGGTCGGGTTCCGGTTCTGAGATAAAATTTCACTCCCGGATTCGTAGAGGACACCACTGAAAGTTGTTCAGCCTTCGTTCTCCACCTGGCTGAACTTGGGACTGAGAATGTTGAAAGTTAATATGGTTCAAGCGGACACCGCTGACGAATAGTTTATGCAAAGGAACGCTGAGTCTTACTGGCTCGCTTATGAGGCCGAGGTTTATCCGGGGTCGAGGAAATTTAGTGTAACTACAAAAAATTTAGTCGCTATCGCGATCGTTGGCCAAAAATATGATATCAGCATCAAAAATGAATTCCATAGATGCTTCCAAGAAACGCAAGCGAAAGCATCGTCAATCCAAAACAGAAAACTTCGAAGCCTCAGATCCGACAGTTGTATCCAGTCCTGCGACTAATAGAGGCGCAAAACCGAAGCGCTCCAAGGAAGAAAAGTCAGATCAGAAATCGAAGAAGCCTCGCGTATCAGACATTGCGCCAAAAGAAACTCTACCTGAGAATTCAGAAAATGAGACACCTGCACATGATGAGCAAACTACAGAGGCAGAATTGGCTGAGGTAATCGGCAAGGATAAAGCTGAGGAGGATATGGAGGATAAATTTTCGGATGAAAATGCAGATGAAAACACGGACGTGGAAAATGGCCCTGATTCCGAACAATTAGTAGACGTTGGGAGGTTATCGTTGCCAAATTCTGATGCGCAGGCCCAGAAATTTTCACAACTCAACCTTTCCGATAAAACTATGAAGGCTATTGCCGACATGAATTTCGACGATATGACGGAAATCCAACAGCGAGGTATTCCACCTCTACTGGCCGGTCGAGATGTACTCGGCGCGGCGAAGACAGGATCAGGTAAAACCCTCTCTTTCTTGATTCCGGCCGTTGAAATGCTTTACTCGTTACGATTCAAACCGCGCAATGGAACTGGAGTTATTGTAGTCTCTCCAACAAGGGAGCTTGCCCTACAGATATTCGGTGTGGCCAGAGAGCTGATGGCACATCACTCACAAACTTACGGGATTGTCATTGGTGGCGCAAACCGCAGAGCTGAAGCCGAGAAGCTGGCAAAAGGTGTCAACTTATTAATAGCCACTCCTGGGAGACTTTTAGATCACCTTCAGAACACCCAGGGCTTTGTCTTCAAGAACTTGAAAGCATTAGTGATTGACGAAGCCGATCGCATTCTCGAGATCGGCTTCGAGGATGAGATGCGACAAATCGTGAAGGTACTCCCCAAGGACGACCGCCAAACTATGCTATTTTCTGCTACCCAGACGACAAAAGTGGAGGATCTCGCGCGTATATCGCTGCGCCCGGGGCCGCTCTATATCAATGTCGATCACCAGAAAGAGTACAGTACCGTTGAAGGTCTTCAGCAAGGCTATGTTCTGTGCGATTCGGATAAACGCTTTCTCCTGCTCTTCTCCTTCCTCAAACGAAACCTGAAGAAGAAGATCATCGTCTTCTTTTCCTCCTGCGCCTGCGTCAAGTATCACGCCGAGCTCCTCAATTACATTGACTTGCCTGTATTGGACCTGCACGGCAAGCAGAAGCAGCAGAAGCGTACCAACACCTTCTTTGAATTTTGCAATGCAAAACAGGGCACGCTTATCTGCACGGATGTCGCAGCCCGTGGTCTCGATGTAGGTTCCTCACCTCTCCCAGCTTCCTTCTCTCTTCCAGTGCTGACCTTAGATCGCTCTAGATCCCTGACGTCGACTGGATTGTCCAATTCGATCCGCCCGACGACCCGCGAGACTACATTCACCGCGTAGGTCGAACAGCGCGCGGCTCTAATGGTAAGGGACGCTCCTTACTCTTCTTGCAGCCGAACGAAGTCGGTTTCCTCATGCATCTCAAGACAGCACGCGTGCCTGTCGTCGAGTTCGACTTCCCCACCAAGAAAATCGTCAATATCCAGTCCCAGCTGGAGAAATTGATTGACCAAAACTATTACCTTAATAAGAGCGCTAAAGATGGCTACAAGAGTTATCTTCAAGCTTATTCTAGTCACTCTCTTCGCACGGTTTTCAACGTTACTCAGCTCGATCTCATCAAAGTCGCCCGTAGCTTTGGTTTTCGAACACCGCCACGCGTCGACCTGGTTATAGGGGCTGGAATGGCGAGAGATAAAAAGATGCAAGGTAGAAGAGCTTATGGTAGTCAGCCTAGGCAAGGGGGAAGCTTCAAGAAACGGTGACCTTTCTAAGGTGTCTGGAATTGCACTATCGGCGTATCATAAATTGTGGGTTGGCGTACACGGATAAAGTTACCAATTGTAGGTTAGGTGATAGTTTTAAAGACTTGATATGCTGGTTTACCTAAGTCTATGCCATAAGACTCACTACAGTTCACTCTAATCTATAACTAGAAGCTCCATTGCACATTGATTTTCGTCATCTGATCTCCATAGTTCTGTCATGATGTCCGCGTCGACCCGTAATTACCGGTTTGTATAAAAGTAAACAGATATTCTGTCAATGAATTTAAACACATACATAAAAACGCCACGCTGAAAGTTTTTCTACCACGCTAGGGAGACTATCCATCCACTCCTGATTTCGTTAAGCATCAAACTTTGTGGAGAATTTCTCCTGCTAATCAGCTTCAGCTAGCTGAATGATCAGCTTCGAAGCTAGATCCAAGAAGGGAAAGGGACTCGTAACATCCTTCTCCTCGTGAAGCATGCCATCTTCCGTTTCATATCCTGCACACTTGAAGTCAACAAGATAGACACCTGGTTCCATTTCATACAGTTGGATATCCAAATGCATCACTACATCACCGTCAGATCCGCTTTTTGTTGTTACACCCTGAAACGATAGGGTGGATCGGTGACCGAGATCAGCTGTGGAGGAATGGGTTGAAATGCCAGGATGTCTCATGCCACTTGTTTTCCAGCGTACGTGAAGTACCCATGGATCAGTTGGAAGGCGATAGTGTGCACTAGGATCGGAGGTATTGAAACGCATACTCGTGGATTCGCCCTGACCACTAGATGAACTGGATTGAAATGAGCTTGGACTTTCTTGGGTATCGGTAGCATATTTATCTTTATTCGGTCTGTAGTTTGTCAGAAAATATTTCCATACGAAAGAATATATTTGACCTATTATCTTGCGGATCTCGCACAGAGGATATTCCACCTTCATCAATGACCCACTCAGCACCAAGTTTCTGAAGAGCACGATAGATACAACCAGTAGCCTCTAAAGGCTGATTTCTAGACCTGATACCAAATTGCCATTTGTTAGGCCTTGGCTTTTTCGGGGGAACCGGTGTCAATCCTGCAGGTCTCTTACTGGCTTCGTCTAATTTGATTTGATTCCTTGAGTGGGGATTTAGCCTGCGTGCGGTTTCTATTTTCTCAGCATCTGTCTGATGAGAACCATTCTCGATTTCGGCATATGCGTTAGAGAGGGGATTTCCAACATTTTTACCTGTTCTTCGAGCTTCCATGTAGTCTAGATGGTAATTTGGTAGACTACTTGGCAGGATACCAATTTTGCTAACATACGGTCGAACAGACGTTAAAAGGCTTGTTCCTGTGGAGCTCATCGAGCGGGGAGACATTTGATCATGCAATGATGTTGGGCGAACAGGCGGTGCAACTCTTTCTGCAGTTGCAGTATTTTCAGTTTTAATATCAGAGTTCCAAGTCTGCGGTGAAAGGGGTTGAAATAACATTTTACCTTTATCATCTGAAGAAATATTTGCTGCTTCCTAGTCAGTTGAAGACATGGGCTCAGATTCCAACTTGTAAATTTTAAGAAACCCTCATCGAATCTAAAGCAGCGACAGAGTGACCAACTTACGATTTGCTTGCATTAATTTATTTTCTCTCACAATCAAGTAGGCGTCTTTTATCGCGGATGGTTCTTCTGCAGCTAGAGCTTCTTGTACATCTTTTATCCCATATCCCATAGTCTTGCTAATCTTCTCCGTCACTTGATCGTGTAGCTTTTCCTGCACTGCAGGGCTTGCATGCGGAGCAAGAAGCTTTGCAGTGATTGCTCGACTTGGATCGACACCAGTATCGATAAACTCCTCGACTGGAGGAGCTAGATATGATGCCAGGTTTTTAAGGAACCACGGGTCTAGTCGAATTTCTTCTATTGTAGCACGATGAACAGGGTTGACCGCAAGCATTTTTTTGATCAATGCGGCAGCTCCAGAACTCATGTAATTAGGAACCGCATAATGTCCCTTGGCAATCTTTGCAAAAAGCGAGGGTATATGCTCATCATCAAAGGGTAGTCTTCCTACCAGTAAGACATACAAAATAACACCACAGCTCCATACATCGACCTCCGGGCCAGCATAGAGTTTACCATTGATCACTTCTGGGGCTGCGTAGTTGGGGCTACCGCAGCTAGTCTTCAAAAAGTTTCCATCAGTCATGATGTTGCTTAGCCCGAAATCTGCGATTTTGACGTTCAGGTTTTCATCCAACAGTAAATTTTCTGGCTTCAAGTCCCGGTGCACAATTTTATGTCGATGGCAGTATTCGACAGCACATATGATTTGCTGGAAAAATCGCCGCGCTTCATCCTCTTTCATCTTTCCATGCTGAACAATATAATCAAATAATTCGTCTCCGGCATATTCAAGAACCATAATTATTTCTAGGGGGGTTTTTATCACAGTATATCTAGTATCACACATTAGAATTTGGGTCAAAAAATCATTGCCAGAGGTACCCACAGTTTAATGATATGTGGATGTCGAAGCAATTGTAGATACTCAATCTCTCGTTCAACCCTTCCAGCCATATCTCGACTGATGAGTTTCTTTCTAGCAATAATCTTGAGGGCAACCTGCTGATTTGTGACTCGATGAGTTGCTAACTTGACTTTCCCGAAAGAGCCTTCACCCAGCGTACGAATAATTTGATAGGCACCAATTCTCTGCTCTGCCTTCTTCTGAGGGAGGGGTTGCGGCGGCTGATTAACCGGGCCATTTTGGGAGCGGCGAGAGCTGGTAGAGTCGGGCTTTTTATTCTGAGTTCTACGGTTGGCACTGGGAGCCAATGATATCTCCAATTCAGCTTCTTCAAATGCTCCGTGAGGAATCATGGTGGAGAATTAATTTGGGTTGAGGAGTAATACGAAAGGACTTCAGCTGTAACCCCACCAAAGGCGGCCGAGCGCGTTATCTGCTTCGAGGCAATGGACAACTTCGTCGGGTGCGTTAAGAAGTATCAGGAAAGATAAATAGCCCGTAAAATTTCAATCATCATCCTGACCGGATTACTTTCCTTTCGGAGCTGTAATCCGACACATGTAGGCGAGGCTTGCGGCGTTGAGGTTGTCTGATGGGTTTGTGTTGTTTCACAGCGATCGATCCTTAGCGACGTCGGGGTCAAGTTTGTGGGGTAACGAAGTTTGAGTTGGAGGGTAAAGAATCCCCTCCACATCGGATGCAAAAAATCTTAATCTCAGGTTCGATGTGCTCTTAGGAGATCAAGGCAGAGAAACTTGGCCACTTGTACTTGCTATGCACTAAATACCTAAGCAGGAGCGTTCCAAATTTACAACATCTAGGTTCTAATTAGGATCCATGACAACGAGCACATGCGCGTGAACTGTCCTATCTAGGCTTGACGAAGGGATGGCCATGTCGCCCCCCCCCATTAACCTTATAATATTCTAGAAGAAATGTCCTATAGACCTTCTCACTGACTATCTGCTACCTGAAACGTCCCAAAGGCTGGCAAGCTCCGAAATTCGGGTGGGGTCGGACTCCACGTGGTCAACTTGCCTCGAACGAATAAGCCACGTCGGTCGGCCGGCAAAGATCAAGTTCCGTGGCTCGGGCTCTCATGCCGGGCATGTAACTTCAAAGTTGCCGAAATCATTTTCCCCACATTAATTATCACTTCCGATTGCAGGACGGTGATGCGATATGATATTTCGATAAGCTTTGCTAACACAATTTAGGTGGATTTAACAATTGCCGCTTCCATAAAGCTAACTCGCTGGTTTGAATTAGTAAGACCAGTCGCCATCGCAGGCTTTCTGTTAGAAGTGCAGCAACATCCTTGTCACTGTAATAGAAGATATTCTGAGGTTCATCTGGGGCGCATATACTCAATATAATGAGGGGTCAAAGTTCGTACCGACGAACCTGGGTAGCCATGAGCAAATGTAACACACTAGATGAAGTGGCCATTATTGTAAACCATCACTTGACCCAAACGGTTAGGCAAGGGACTGGCTTACGTCGGCGTCATCGTTCAGATAACCCCAAAGATGAAAAGTTGCCATAGACCTCACAGACAAATGTAGTCACAAGATCGAAAAATTTGTCGGTGGATACCGGCAACTCGCATCATCGGCATCAATTCACGGGTGTCATTGATGAGAAAGATTCCCGGCATAGAGCAGAATAGGCAAACAGCCCCAATAAAATCTCATATAACACGAAAAATGTCACAATAAGGATTGAGATTGTGATAAGGTTGATAACTTCAGAACGAGATGTCGTGCGTGCTCCTCTTTGATTTAGTTTATTTCCTCATCAATGAAAGGACAATTGTAATTGGACTACACTGTAGTGTTTCGTGTTGCTGTAACTCTTAGTTTACCACCTCTATTGGTAGACCTCGTCCAGCTTTCCTTGTCGCATCAGTTTGACGATCGTAGCATGTTCTAGCCGCCGCCACCGCCACTGCTTCATGATAATCATCTCTCTAGATACCTTTGGCGCAGCTACCAGCCAAAATACGAACTGGTGGCCTAATCGAGGGTTAAATCAATTTATTTATATTAAATAGTGTTTACTAAAATACAAAGCTATGAAGCATTATCGATGGCTCTAGATTTTTCAGTTTACTTAACCATGATACCAAATTCACACCTACTAGCTTGTGTTTACAAACACTATAGGTTAATCTCTATATTCAAGTTAATAGCGCCATCTCTAGTACATGAGCGCTACCATAGAGCAGGTTTACAATATTTTGTTGAGCCAACACGTCTTTGCTACCTTAAAAACAATTACTGTAGAAATGTAATTAGCTTTTGTCGAAACTATAGGTCTGATATTCTGCCTCATGTTGGATAAATGCCTAGTCGATATACTGTTACTGATATTTCTACTTATATGCTATACCATTGCACCACCCAGCCATTAAATCTGGTTGTTCGAGAACACACCACACCGATCAAATCTATCCCGAGCTGAGTGGCGCTGTGGTAATACATCTGTATCTATCTTCAAAGTCGAGCCTAAATAACCCGGATACTTATGCCACACTTGGCAGAAGATTGCAGGCTTGTATCCATAAATCCTTGTCGTTTCTCAAGCGGCTCTCTGGTGAAATGAAATTAGCCAGTCATCTGATAACAGTCACAGTCTCCCGAGTGTTCGTGTTGGCGGCTACCTACGGCTGAGGGCATGTTAAAGGCCTGCGCAAAATCAGGGGGTGGTTCAGGCGAGTGTAACTCAATACTTAAATGTGGCTATAGATATCGAGTTAGATATTGGCTTATTGAGTTCGTAAAAGGTAGATGCGTTGTCTTGTAGTTATCACATGATAAATAATTGACAAGCTCGCTATAATTACGCTAGCCAGGATCCACACTAGCGACATGGGTCCTGGACGAATTGTTGGTGAGAAAGCAAGCAAAACGTTCATCTTTCTTTACGAAATCAATACGATGGGTCGTAAACCCACCCAGCGTCAATTTAACATTATCTTCACTATCTTACATATAAGCAAATTGGGTCTAGTACGAGTAATGCCCAATTGGATCCAGAGATGAAAGTATTTTCAGTCCAGAATGAATGCCAGGCACGCACATGTGTCTACTACCACCTGACTTACCAATAAGAAATGTCTGCCTCATTTTTGAATGTATGTCGAAGGGGTAATTATTCTCCGCACTAGCCGTATCTGTAGGCTAATATTCTCGGGTATCCTCCTTTACATGGATCTGATTTCTCCTTATTTCTACCACAGGTGTAGATCCAGATCTTCTACAATCTTTCGGTAAAGCCTTTAATACGGCAAAACCTAATATGCCGGTCGTTTCATGAGTATTCAGGACGGGTCCTTTGATGAAAGAGGCCTTGGTGTGAAGGTTATAATTTTCTTCAAACGTAATCCATGCGAATTTAAGCGCATGGCTTTACAAAATGCTAATACTGCGCCTTTGATATAGTACTAATTTATGGCAACGAAGAAAATAATGGGAGGGTAATGAAACAAATTGGGGGGCATTTAGTTGAGGAAACGCTAGATGTTAAATGGCGAGAGTACGAGCTACGTGGTATTATTTTGCATATTAAACATGACCTGTGTGACGAGAAGCGAAAAGACCATCTAGCTATATGAAGACGTGTAGAAGAGTGCAAAGACTGAACACGTATCCGAGGTGGCTTCTACGAGCCTGGAGGTGAAATTATTTCCTAGAGCCAAGTTCATTCAAGTTTCGCAGCATTGAAGAAGTTAGCCCGCAAGGCAAAGATTAAGTATTCTGTACTAAATCAAAATTTCACCTCTGAAAAGATCGACCCCAGCCAAAGACTCTTCAAGTTATTAAGTACGGCCTCGTAAAAACTCTTGTGCATGAAACCAACTCTCGTCAGCTCAGGTGGCCTCCAAGATTCGTTCAGCTCGACGAAAATACTAATCTTTCGCAAGCCCGCAATGAACTGGAAAAGAAGATCACGCGGTCAAAATACGACGCGTGGGAAAGTGGCTATGTGATGGTGGCCCGGCCACACAGGTATTCTTGGAAACGAAGCAGCCGACGCGCTTGCTAAAGCTGCCTGTGCGGCTCCAGCTCCACACTTGGAATCCTCCACTGCGAGGGCAAGGAGAGAAGTCAAAGCCCAATACGAGGCTTCAGTCGTACTCTATTGTGCAGAACATGCACCGTCTAGATACAAAGAATTACGTATTGGTCCTAATACTAAGATCACCACTGAGCTCGCTCGTCTAGGACGATGTACACTAGGACAACTATTAGCTGCACGTTCTGGGCATGATGATTTTGCATACTACCATCGACGCTTTCAGCACGAAAACGCCAGCCTTATCTGCATATGCGGAGAAGAGAAGTCCCCCGACCACTTTTTCTATTGAAACCTCGGGCAGTACCAGGCAGAGCTCTACAAGGCTCAGATCTTCAATTACACTATATCTTGGGCCCTTGCCACAGCGGAGGGAGTTGATGCATCCAATAATTGGGTGCGTGACACAAACTTTCTTGGAAAAGCACATCAACAAGTCTGACGAGACTGAAATCATCTAAAAAAAGCGAGAGAGCTTTAAAGCTACGCAACTAATTTTCCTCTTTACTAATTTTATTTCTTTGCTTTGTATTCTCTATGGAATAACCTCTGCAAATCATGAGAGACAAGGGGAGACCGGTAACCATGTGTAATTTAATCTTCAAGCGCAGGATAATAAGATCCTGGGTTTCATTTGCTATGTTGTGTCTATGTAGGCGCCAACACGTCGGGTAGTTTTATATAGACTGGGCTAACCAGTACGTGAGGAGCTCAGGTGCTGTGCGCGGGCACGACGTTAAATATTATAAAAGACTTCATTTAAATACCTCTCCTAGTGTCAGATCTATCACCCTCACACGAGTCCTCCAACTCGATTTTACCACAAACTACCCCGGCTGAGCGACCGATATAGGAGTTGTCTCAATTCCAAAAAGGAGCTTGCCTCATCAATCACAAGCCCTTCCCCGATATAAAATTTGTGGCGATACATACACCCGCAAGAAGGAAACCAAATTATAACTTTGAAAACTCGGGGTCTGGTTTACAGGGGACTTATGTCGTAACGGGCCTGTTTAAACCGAGGAAGAACAAGCAACTGGGATGTAAAACGAGGGAGAAGAGTCCTCTGGTGGACACGATGGCTCTGACATCTTCGAGGTATTCTTGACTTTGGAATGTTTGTGGGCATCAAGACTGCGATTTTATCTTGTGCCACCGACACTTTTTATTTTAAGGTCCCAGACATCAGCCCAGCGCCTTATGGCACGGAACTGGCCACCGACACTTTAAATATATGACACGCCGGCTTTTCTTCGCTGGACGGAGGTACGAGAAA